AAATGAAATAAATTACGCACACTTCCATTCTTTTACGAAATTTCGGAAGAAAATCTGTGAAGCAACGAAAATAATGCTGCTATGTGAAGAATATCTTTCAGAAATTTTCCAGAATTTTCTTTATTTTTCGTACAGGAATTTCTTTACGAGTTCGTGTCAACCACTTCATATAATTTTCTTTGAAAATTCGTAAAAAAATGGTTACAGAAATGAGATACTCCTAACGATTTCCTTAAGATTTCGGGAACTTTGGTTTGCAGGGTAATTTGAAAAAAAATCAAATCAGCTGCTATACTGATATTACCTATTCAATGTGCCTTGGTTTAATTGTATTTTTGGAATAAACAAAGTTATTTTTCCTTCTGCCAGTAAACTGTTTTTTTTTACAAATAGTATAAATAAGCAATGGGAAATAAAGCAAAATTTGTGTTATTTCCAACCTTTGTTGGAAATAAAGCAAAACTCAGATTTTGGTATTATTTCCCATTTAAAAGTGAAATAAAGCACATTTTGCGTTATTGCCGATTGTGTTATTTAAAGAGTCTAAAAATAATTTATTAATTGTAAAATGTTTACAGTAGAAATGTCAAAACAGTGCAACAACTGTTTACTTGCAAGTTTTTAATAGTTTTGTGTTCAATGTCTTTTTCTGCTAGTTTTCGCTTCTCAATTATACGCCCTATTTTGCTTTTACGCTCTCACTGCTATTTTAACTGGAAATGTTACTATACACACCTACTATAATACACGTAACATATACTTATGGCCTGGACAGACTGTATTATGTACATGAAATATAACTATTGCCACAACCCGACCATCCTGACTTAGAAAATCTCCCGATTGTGACTTTACAATGCCTACTGACTACTTTGTCTTTCTTTAGTCATGTTTCTTGTTTTGACGCCAGATGTACAATTATGTATACCAATTTAAACTGTAAACTGACCAAGCTCCTTTATATCGTATCTGTGTCTGCTGAAAACCCTCCACATCTTCTACGATATACAGATCGTTTGCTAATATTTTTGTAACCTTATACGGCCTTTTAAATTTGGGACCTAGCTTACTCGAAACACCCAACTGAGTATTTACGTTGCCAATCATTACGTAGTCGCCTAACCTAAACTTATAAGCATCTCTTCTCTTTGTATCTGCATGCTTCTTATTGTAATCTTGAGCTTTGATTTGAACTTCTTCCGCTTCTTCTCTTATCTCTTTTATATTTCTAATCTCTGTTGGATGCCTCAACTTCAAAACGTTTTTTTTTTCAGGCTATCTATAACTTTTCCCTTCTGACTAAAACCGAACAGCACTATACTTGGATGCTCTCTTATGGACTTATGCATTGTATTGTTAATGGCGTGTTCTACTGAATCCAAAACTTTTTCCCAGCTTATACCTTTTTCTAAATTTATAATTTTAGCCATCATCGGTCCTAGGGTTTTATTTACAATTTCGTACTTACTTACTTGTCCATTCGCTTGTGGGCGGTTAGCCGCAGTCTTTATGTGCTGTATATTACTTGTTTCCAAAAAACAATTAAACTCGTTTGAAGTGAAACATGTTCCCCTATCTGATACTATAAGATTTGGTCTACTATACGCTCTGAAATAATCTTTAAGTGCTGTGTTTGCTTCTCTTAATGCAGTTGTTTTGGCTAGATAAAGACGAACAAATTTCGTAAATACATCTATTATCACTAAGACGTGTCGGTACTTTGTATCTTTGCTGTTAATAGGTCTGTAATGATCGAACCATCTCAAAAGGCTGGATCTTTTTTCCGCTTTTCGTTGAAAATGTTATGCATTTTAAACAGTTTTCTATATATTTTCTAGTATTCGGAAACCAAGTACTCTTACTAATTGCTTCCGTCATCATGGTATTTGTACAGTACATGCTCTTCCATAGAAACTGGTACTAAAAACAACAAGTTTTCCCCATTCTTTATAGACAACGCCATTTCTAATTTCATGGAGACTACTTTCCGTATTTTGTAATTCTTTTTTAATTTCCTAATTTTTTCGTCTCTGCCTTGGCTGATAATTAAATTTTCCTCAAAAGTATTTTTCTCTATCATTAAAACATTATTTACCCTACCCAGAGCATCTACGTGTTGCCAACTCTTGCCCGCCATGTGTTCAAGATTGTAGGCGACTCTTGGGTTAATATCTTTTTTATTAAGGGTTAGTGTCAGAGAATTGAAATCTGTGATTATCTTAAACCGAATGCCTTTTAAGTAAACCCTAAATCTTTTTAGTGCGTAAATTATTGATAATGTTTCCAATACGAAGCTATGGTACCTAGCTTGAAAGTCAGTTGTTCGTTTAGAAAAATAAAACACTTGGTGTAACTTTTTGCCGATTTTCCTTTGAAACAATATCGCCCCAAATCCCAACGCACTTGCGTCGCAAAGCAGTACGGTTATGTCCTTAGGGTCATATATTGCTAACACAGGTGAGTCTATTAGTTTTCTCTTAAGCGTTGCAAAAGCTTCTATTTCTACTTTACCACTTTCTCTTTTTTCGCGATATTATATAGAGGCTTCGCTACTGTTGAAAAATCTTTTATGAATCTGCGAAAATACGAGCATAACCCCAAGAAACTTTGGACCTTCTTAACCTTTGTCGGCACAGCGAAATTTTCTATAGTTTTCAGTCCTATTTTATCCGCCCTTTTTCCCTCGCTTGTAATAACGTACCCTAAATTTTAAATTTTTGACTGAAGAAACTCACACTTATCTAAACGCAATTCCAATCTATTTTGCACTAACTCAAAAACTTTCTGCCTTTTCACTATACGCTTGTCTTCTCGGAGTACAACTGAATGGCTTATTGTTTTCAAATGTCCACTTCATTTTTTTACCGTAGGGACGCATGTACCAGGTTTTAAGCAGAATTTGGTTTGATGAATACCTGCCCGAAGACTGGAATCTCAGTGTACAGTGTGAATGGAGATCCCGCCGTTTGCGCCAATTATCGCGGAATAAACCTTCTTCATATTGCATACAAGGTTCTGTCGACGATATTGTGTGAAAGACTGAAACCGTTCACTAACCAGCTGATTGGACCTCATCAGTGTGGCTTCAGACCTAGTAAGTCCACCATTGACCAGATTTCCACAGCACGTCAAATCCTGGAGAAGACTCTAGATAAGCAAAAAGACACACACCATATTTTTGTCGATTTTAAAGCTGCTTCTGATAGCATGCAGAGGAGCTGCCTGTACGACGCCATGTACAAATTTGGGATCCCTTCAGCACCGTCCAAATTGGGAAGTACCTCTCCGCGCCGTTTAAAACAAATCGAGGTTTTAGACAAGGCGATTCCCTCTCGTGCGACTTTTTCAATGTGATGCTGGAAAGCGTAATAAGGGCTGCCACTCTAAATTGCAGCTGCACCATATATAGCAAAAGAAAGATGCTGGCGGCGTATGCAGATGATATCGACATCGTAGGTCTCAAACACACGTATCCACAGCAGTTTAGAAAAAGAAGGNGGCGTATGCAGATGATATCGACATCGTAGGTCTCAAACACACGTATCCACTGCAGTTTAGAAAAATAAGCTAGAGAGGTTGGTCTAGCGGTGAACGAGGGCAAGACAAAGTACCTTCTGGCAACATACAAAGAGTCCATGCGTTTCGGGACACACGTCACTGTTGGCAGATACAACTTTGTAGTGAAGGACTTTGTCTACCTAGGATTCAGCATAAACACCACCAACAACGTCAGCATGGAGATCAAGTGAAGAATAACTCTTGCCAACAGGTGCTACTTTTGGCTCGGTAGGAAATTGAAAAGCAGAGCTCTACAAATCTCTCATCATGCCCGCTCTTTTGTATGGCGCAGAAACTTGGAAGATGTCGAACAATGATGAGAAGGCTTTGGGGGCTTTAGAGAGAACCATTCTACGCAAGATCTACGGCCAGGTTTTCGTAAAAATACAACGCTTAGCTGGCTTGGACATGTTGTACGCATGGACGACGACGCTCCGATGAAAAGATCCTTTGACTCCGCCCTCATGGGTGGACAACGAAAGCAAGGGCGCTCACGAACGCAATGGAAGGACTAAGTACATAAGGACCTGTCTGCGCTCGGGATAACCAACTGGCGCACAGGAAAAAAACAATTGGAGAAGCTTTTTGGTCTCGGCCCAAACCGACAAAAGGTTGTAGTGCTCTCACTTTCAGATGTATCGGCAACTATATTCACATTACGTGCGTTCTTATTTTCTATCAAACCTTCGTTAATGTTATCAACTTTATATACATTGCTTTCAATATCAACTTGTGATATTTTGTGTATTAATTCAATATTTCCAATTTTCAACTTTACGTTACTTACGTGTATAAAATCCCTACCCACTAGACTCACTAGGAACCACGTTAACCGAAACATAGGTTTTTCCAATTACTTTTAATGTAATTTGTTTAATCAAAAATAAGAATTCATAACGTTATCCAAACGCACTCGTACTTATATTAAAATAACTTACAAACTTATTATCCGTCGCTTCTTCTTGTATTTACCGCAGTCAATTGCTAGCTGCCCTTATTGTCCACACGCATATCACGATCCAACTTCCCGTTTTGGCTTCCTGCACTCTTTCGCGAAGTGCCCTGTACAGTTGCAATTGTAGCAACGTAGCCTTTCGTCTGTGCATGTAGTTGCTTTCAAACTCGACTGTTGTGATAGCTCAATGGTGCGAAATGCCCTTACCAAGTCGTTTGGTGTTGCGAATTTTGCTTTGCTTGAATTCGCAACTCCTTACCAGGTATTCCCTCGATTAGGTACTCGATGAACTCGTCAGCAATCACTTTTCGTTGTAATATTCGGAAAACGTTTCTTCAGATTTTCACCGTCGCCTTTAAAACTTGCGTCGCATCTCAAGTCTACCTTTGTGTTTTGTGAGCATAACCTTCATCTCGCTGTAAAGTTCGTCAACGCTGTTGGAGTACAATCTCCTTGAGTTTTACCAAGTTAATGCAGCACCCTTTACTGTGAAACGAATGACGATGCCCAACGTTGTGTCATCGATGAGTAATGCCGTTCGAAAATGCTGTGCCTGCGACTGCCACAGATCAAAATCATTGCCCCCGTTGTATTCCGGAATAATATCCTTTATTACGTCGAATGGAACTTCATTTGTCATCATTTTGGTGTTATTTTCTCGTATACATTTTTCTAGTTTCAGTAACTGGATTTCTTTTCTTAAAACCTCCAGTTCTTTGCGTTCCGTTAGGTTACCGGTAATAAGCTAGGCACTAACAGCGAACAAATCAGTCTCATTTGTTCGATCAGCATTTCGCCACTAACGTTGCACAAATCAGATCGGACTTGAACTTCGGCGAGTAAACAGGAGCAACGAGGCGGGGGATGAGGTTGTGTGTTTGGTTATTTATGCGTGAAAAAAAAAAGAAAAACGCATAAAAGGAAGAAAGGGTACGAGTGAATTGTTCTTAAAAAAGAACAAAAAATTTAAATACCCTATAAACATTTTGGCGAACGTTCGAAAATGAAAATGACCTTTGATATCCAATATGCATATCGGACCGAGAACGAACTCATAACCAGTGTTAGTTTTCCAACCTTCATATTTTATTGGAAATACACTCGAGATGGGTTCGGAAAAAAATAAAAACCATAGTAACAAGAGAGGAAGTGAAATCTAGCTCATTTTCGAAGGGAAATATAAGACAATCGCTCTCTCTAATGAAATTTTCAATTCGATAATGGGCTGGATTTCGAATTCATAACGAAGGAAAAATACATTGGATAACGAAGGTTCCGTTTTGCTGGAGAATGGCCTAGTTCTCGCCTCGAATGCGCTAATCTATTCCACATTAGTTATCAAAGATGAGGCTCGAAAAAAGGATGGTTTTCCAATCATTTTCGAATTGTTAACCAAGTCCAATGTTTATTGGGTATGCTTATTTGCCAATTTGTTGGAATGTATTGGTTGAAATTTTTTCACAGTTGGTGTTTGCGTTAACCCAAATGAAATTCAATTTTAAAACTTTCTTATAGGGAAAAATATTTTCAAATCACATGCAATAAAATAACAAGAAAAAAAATTCCAAGCAAATCAGGCGTGAAGCGTAAGCGATTATGACCAGTGCAGTTCCTACATAAGTCATACCCAGTTCTGAGCACAACTGTGAGAGAATAACGGTGGGCTGGCTTTGGAAAATATTTCTGTCGATTAGGAGGTAAAACCAGAGTTGTGAAAAATGCATTAAATTTTTTAATTCATAGCATTTTAATGTAAATGAAAAGGATTAATGCATTAATTTTTGATATTTAAAGTAAATGAAAATTTCAATGCATTAATTTCGAAGAAATAATGCTAATGATTTTTTTTGTATTAACATTAAAATGTTTAAATGAATGCTATTGCAATAATTTATTGCATTAAAATTATAACAAGCATTAAAAACCTATTAACTAATTTTATTTTGAAGTAAAAATTCTTTGCTGACATTGAGGGTAGAATTTTAAGGTCAACAAAGATAGTGACGGACGTTAAGGCTGGTTTTCACTATGTCAAGTTCATTTTCATAAGACATCTAACAATGTTTAGAAGAATTTTTCTACAAATACACATAATATAATGAACCTGAAAAAACTATTAGTGATTATTTCAAGTCCTTCCAAACGAGGTTATTTATATTTTACTAGAAAAAAAATTTAATAGTTTTTAATAATGCAAACGAGCAAAAGTATTAAACATTTTAGTGCATTCAAATTTTTTCATTAGCATTCGCTTGGATAATTTAATGAAAAAAAATTTCATTAGCATTACATTTTTCAGAATTAATGCATTGAAATATTCATTCGCATTAAATTTCATAAATAATGCATTAATTTTTTACATTAACAGTATTGCTTTAAATACCATTAATGCATTAAAAATTAATGCATTTTTCACAACTCTGGGTAAAACTGGTATTACCTACATAGCTTAAAGGTAGAACTCTCCAATTTAAGGAATTACACATCAAAAGCTAAGATTCTACTGTTAACTGAAAAAAAAACAATATTTAAAATGCAAACCTAAACTTAATATTCTAATATATTCCTCCAAAGGATCATCCATCGTCGAAAAGCCCTCAAGCTGCATTTTTTAATCCCACAAGAATTCTGAATTTTCAAAGTACCACAACGTGGTACTTTAGTGATATTTTTTTACAGTTTCTATCGTGGTAGTTTCGTCTACTTCCCTCTACTTCTCCAGCAGCTTATTCCAAATTGCATAATTTCAGAAAAAAAAAATCTTCTAAAAATCGCTTACTTACAATGACCTGCGATGTACGCACTTCAACGATTCAAAATACCCTGATATGACGAAATGAGTTAAAAGTAAACTGAAATTGCCACATGGGTTAATGTTCGCGAACTGCGCCACTAACGGTCGAACAAATCAGAAGAGTTTGAAAATTTTCAAATCCTTCTGATTTGTTCGCCCACCACGCCACTTATGACATCGAACATGAACAAATAAGACGGATTCGTTCGCTGTTAGTGCCTAGTTTTACTTTCAAGGCACATCGCACCATCGTCACCACTTTGTTCACACACTACCTCGTTGTTGCCCACATATGCCAGCTCTTTTGGAATTGCGCCTCTGCTGACGCTTATTTCCGTTACTGCACCTGCGTCGCAATTTTGTACGCTACTTCGCTATCGTCTAGTTCCGTTATTTTATCCCGTTGGTCGTAATTTTCACTCCGTTGCCTTTTTTGCTCACCGTTGTCTCTGCTGACCTCTGGACAACAGACGGCAGCGTTGATCTGGATCAACTCGGTAATTCGGAATTATCTCGGGAATTAACTGCAGTTGATCCGGTTAAGTCCAAGAGTTAATTCCCAAACTTAACTCGGATCAAGCGAATATTCGATGACAACACTGACGAATCTCAGAGAGCGTAGAATACAAAGAAAGTACAAAACTAGCATGGATATATACTAGGGCTGTGCGATTATTCGATTACTCGAGCAAGTTGGTTAATCAATTATAAGGTTAATCAATTACTCGAGTAATCAAGATTTTGATTACTCAAAACGATGATTAATCGAGTTAATTGAAATATGATTACTCAAAAAAAATAATTTTGCTCGTTAAGAGAGTTTGCTTTGGAAAATGCTTATTTTCTTTTTTACATTCCGTATAGAAAAAAATTTTTCGTTTAAATTTTTGAAAACAGAAACGATGTTCTCAGAGTATCAAGGAACTTCAACTACTTTATATGTAAAGAGTTGAAATGTTGATTACTCATTTTACTCGAAATGTTGATTAATCATAAAGCAAATTACTCAAATATTTTTGTTTTTGGTTAATCAAAAATCTTGATTACTCGAGTAACTGAACTTTTGAGTAATCATAATTTCCAATTAATTATTAGTTATTTACTTTATGATTAATTAAAATTTTGAGTAATCAATTAATCGCACAGCCCTAATATATACCTTTTCATCGGTAATGCAGTCACCATACTAATCCAGATAGGAATCCAATTAAAATTGAATAAGAACTTATTTGAATTAATACGGTGACTGCATCACCGACAACAAAGTGAATGTCCACGCTAAGTAATTTTGCTTTTTCTTTATGTTCTACGCTCCCTGAGCAAACAAAGCAGCCAACTACTTCATTCGCGGGAGCCGAGTGGTGAGGGCTGCGTGCTACAACCCTGCAGATCCCAAGTTCGATCCTCGGTTGGAGCGACTGCAAAAAAAATTGCTTTTGTTGTTACTTTAATTTTGTTTAATTTAATTTGATTTATATATTCAATTTTACTTTATTTTATTCTCGTTTGTTTTATCTTATTTCAGTTTTTTATTATTAGTTAAATTAATTTTTTAGAGTTTAATTTTACTAAAAAAGTCAAAAACAGCTAATAAAAACAATTTTTAAAAAATATAGATATAATTGAATGAATAAAAGAAATTAAATGAATATTCTACTGGCCATGGGATTCGAACCTACGACCTCGCGGCTCGTAAATCCGCATGACTGTCATCTGTCAAGGCACAATTTCGATCAGATCAATTGCGGCGTTAATCCGGATCAACGTTGCCGCCCGTCTATGCCTTAACTTCCGCCGTCAGCTCGTTGAGCTTTGCCACCAGCGAAGCCTTAGCGCCGCTTCCGCTAATTCCCACAACTTTTCACCACTCCTTTAGCTGAAGTAGGGAGTATGTTTCCGGGTGGATCGTGTTTATTTGCATTTTTTTTTTTAATTTTACTTTAATTGTGGTCTCACTTAACTTTGATTGTAATCTCAAATTTTGTAATAAAATGTAGATTCACAGACCACTTCTGATGCAGCAGAATGGCTTCCACAGAAATATATAAAAACCAATAAAGACATCCGCTTCGATGATGAGGTATATCCGATATGCGATTTTTATTCAAGCGTCTTTTCTCTTGTTTTTGACAAAATGCTTAGAAATATTAAACAACCGCTTATGATCTAGACACACTATAATACACGTAACAATAACTTATGGCCTAGACAGAGTGTATTATGTTAATGAAATATAACTATTGCTAAAGTAAACACCTTCAACGTCATTCTTGACAACCTTGATTCTGAATTGCGGAAAAGATGTGAAGCATATGAAAGGATTCACGAAAAATGTACATTTATTACTGAATTCGGCTATGTAAATTTCAGTGAAATTCGTAAAAATCAGAACGTTTAAAAAAAATGTATAACTCGGACCTCGAATCTTTAGCACTTCCACGAGTTGCTCTGAAAACAAGTTGGAACGTAGTTATCCATCCGACCTTTTGAACAAACGTGTTATACCTAAACGAGGAGATAGCATATACGTAGAACATTCATTACATTAGCTGCGACGCAGAGCGATCATTTTCATGTTTGAAAAGGGTCAGTAACTATTTACGCTCATTTTTCATTCTTTTATACTTTTGAATGTAAACAAAAATTCCATCAGCTGTTCGTCTAACTTGCAAGTGTCTGCAAGTTTTCTGTTTGCGTACTATTCTGCTGGATGTTTTTTACCGGAGATTTTAAACGAACGTACCTAATAATTACACTTCTCTGACCTGCTCACATTATTTTTGGCGGACCGAATAAATATTCCTTCATGCATACACATAAATATGTACATATATGCATATGCGTGTATT